GAGAGAGAGAGAGAGAGAGAGAGAAAGAGAGAGACAGAGACAGAGACCTAGCTGTCCAGGAACTTTGTATGTAGAGCCACCTGCCTGTCTTCTGACACTGAGATTAAAGGCAAGCACCACTACATTCCCATGAAGGTGTTCTTCAAGAATGTCTCAAACTTTGCATGTGATGTCCACTTGGCACAAATGTCCATTCCACCATGACTCTTAGATACTAGTACCTAAGTGAGAAACGTGTTTGACTTCAAGACTATACTCCCTAGGTGGGTGAGATAAGAGTACTTACTGCTCTTATAGAGGGAGGACCTGGTTTTGGTTCCTAGCACAGCACAGCTCACAACTACCCTTGACTACAGTTCCAGTGGATCCAACTTCCTTTTCTGGTTCCATAAGCACCAGATCCACATATGGTATACACATATGCATGCAGGAAAAACACAAAATAAAAAATGATATTCTTAAAAGACTACATTTCCCAGCCTCCCTTGCAGCTAATCTAGGATGATGAAATAATAGGAGGCAGTCTTTAGGTGGAGCTTCCAGGAAAACTATTTAAAAGGAACTTAGCCTGTGACTGTTTCCTCCTTCTTCCTGGAACACAAACAAGATGTCCTGGGCTGTAACAATCATTTTGGACCATGAGGTAACCCTTAGGACTGAAATGTCTATAAAAACTATAGAGTAGGAAGAAGGGAGTCCCTGGCCATCATAGACTACGTACATTGAGACTTTTTCTTTCTTTTTTTTTTTTTTTTTTGGTTTTTTGAGACAGAGTTTCTCTTTGTAGCCCTGGCTGTCCTGGAACTCACTTTGTAGACCAGGTTGGCCTCGAACTCAGAAATCCGCCTGCCTCTGCCTCCCAAGTGCTGGGATTAAAGGCGTGCGCCACCACTGCCCAGCTACATTGAGACTTTTAATAGAGCAAAATAAACCTCTATGTAATACAGAAATACAAGTAACTATGGTCAGGTTTTTGTATAACTGAACATAATTCATACTGTGTCTCTCTTTTTTTTTTTGGTCTGGGATAGAGTTTCACTGTGTAGTTAGTTAGCCCTGGGCTGACCTGGGACTTGCTATATAGACAGGCTGGTCTTGAACTCACAGAGATCTGCCAACCTCACCTAGGTACATTTTTATGATGTGTCTGTGAGGAAGGCAGTACGCACGTGAGCCCATTGCCTGAAAAGGAGGTAGCTGGAACCTCTAGAGTTGAGAGTCAGTTGTGAGTTGCAGGACCAAACTGGGGACCAAACTCCAGAGCAATAGGAACTCTTCAACCACCCAGCTGTCTCTCATTTCCACATAAGGGCTGAGTTTCCTTGAAAATTCTGGGTCAGGGGTTTCCTGTCTCAGGGTTAAGGGTGTTGCTCAGTGATAGACATTATTAGCATGCTTGAGGCTCTGGACTTTACTACTCTGTTAACTCTGAGTCGAGAAAAAAATAAATGCCTCCTAAGTGCAGAGGTTACCAGCCTAAACTGAATAATGTTGGTTTTGCCTTACAGTGTTTTGCGAGGAATCAAACCCAGGTTGTTGAGCTGGGCAAGGGTGCTGCTGCAGAGCCAACCCCCACCCATTTCTTCCTGCTAAATAGAGCTGGAGGCTGATTTGTCAAAATCACCCCATAAATGTGTTGTTTCTTTATCTGGAGAGATGGAGGTGCAGCTTGGTTTTGCTTTTGTTTTACCCCCGGATTCTGGTAACTTTTCTCCTTAGTCCCCTGGCCGGCCTATGTTGGCCTCCACCTGTAGCAACAAGCTGCAGCTGGTTCTGAAACAATTTGTTAACCCCTTCTGACTGTAGGGACAAATGCATTTCCTGAAATACTGTGGCCTCCCTGCCAGACAGGCACTTTGAGAATACCCTCCCTCCCCCTTGCAAACCCTGCAGGGGTAAGAAGTATCCTACACACTTAATTGGATGTGATGGCTCACACCCATAATTCTAGTAAAACTAGCTCTTGGAGGTGAAGTCCAGGGGTTAGGAGTTCAAGGTCATCCTCTTGCAAAGCCAAGTTTGGAGCTAACCTGAAATGGGAAATTCTATCTCAAAAGAAAAAGGCGCTGGGCCGGGCAGGGTTGCGGCATGCTTTTAATCCCAGCACTTGGGAGGCACAGGCAGGTGGATTTCTGAGGCCAGCCTGGTCTACAGAGTGAGTTCCAGGACAGCTAGGGCTGCACAGAGAAACCTTGTCTCAAAAAAAAACAAAACAAAAAAAGAAGAAGAAGAAAAGAAAAAGGCACTGGGGAGTGAATGGCTAAGTATGTAAAGGAACTTGTCTGCAAGCCTGAGCCTGATCCCTGGCAGTAGAAGACAACTGATTCCCAAAAGTTGTCCTCTGACCTCTACACTCAATGCTGTGACAGATACCCACCTTCCTGTGCACACATTTATTTTTTATTTAAAAAATCTTTAACCCCGCACTTGGGAGCAGAGGCAGGCGGATCTCTGAGTTCGAGGCTAGCCTGGTCTACAGAGTGAGTTCCAGGACAGCCAGGGCAACACAGAGAAACCCTGTCTCGAAAAAACCAAAAAAAAAAAAAAAAAAACTTTAAGTATGTATTATTTTACATGTATTGGTGTTTTGCCTGCGTGTATGTGTGCACACAATGTCTGACCCCTTAGAAGAAAGTGCTAGAGCCACTCAAACTGGAGTTACCAATCCTTGTGAGTCACCATGTGGGTGCTGGGAACTGAACACAGGGCCTCTGCAAGAGCAGCAAATTCTCTTAGGCACTAAGCCAACTCTCCAACCCCAAAGATTTTTTTTTTTAAGATGTATTTATTTTATTTATATGAGTACACTATAGCTGTCTTCAGACACACCAGAAGATGGCATCAGATCCCATTACAGATGGTTGTGAGCCACTCTGTGGGTACTAAGAATTGCACTTTGCTTGAGATAGACTCACTTGCTCACTACTTGGTATCCCAGGCTAGCTTCTCTGCAAGCCTCTGAGAATTGTCTTCTCTCACCTCACTATAGAATACTGTGATTGCAGACATGCAACCATATCGGGATTCCTGTGGAGGCTGGGGATCTGCACTCAGGTTATCAGGCTATGTAGCAAGCACTTTACCATCTAAGCCATCCCCTTAGCCCAAGATGTTATCTTCTTCTCTCTCTTTTTTCATAGATAGATAGATAGATAGATAGATTTTATGTATATGAGTACACCACTGCTCTCATCATACAAACCAGAAGGGGGCATCAGATCCCATTACAGATGGTTGTGAGGCACCATGTGGTTGGTGGGAATTGAACTCGGCATCTCTGGAAGAGCAGTCAGTGCTCTTAACTTCTGAGACACCTCTCCAGCCCAAGATGTTAACTTATTAAGGAGGAAAAAATAGTATTTCTATGTTTTCCTTTGTTTTTTTGAAGCTGTGTTTCTTGTTACCCAAGATTGTTTGGAACTTTTGGTCATCCTGCCTCTACCTTCCCAGTGCTGGGATTATGACATATGACAACCATGTTCTGCTGTTCCAAACTGACTGACTGTTTCAAGCAAGAGCTCACTCTACCCCTGACTAGCCCAAAACTCACTATGTAGACTCAGGTATGTTCGAATTTGTATCCATTCTGCATCTGCTATCCAAGTGCTAGGGTAGCCCAAGAGCTATCATGCCCTGCTCACAAATGATTTCTTAAATTTCTGAAACTGGTAAGGTCTTATGGCCAGAGAGGCAGCCACCGTAGCTAAGAGTCCCATAGTAAGGATGCCCTCCCTGGAAAAGAAACCTGCCAGCTTCAGAGTTGGAGTCAGAATTCATGTTCAGAGAAACCAGGAGACCAGCAAATATTCCACCACTTGTATATATGCATAACGTGTGTGCTGGCTATGGGGTATATAAAGGGAAGAATTTCCCCTTTTCCTCAGAACCTGGGATACAGATGCCTATAACCTCCATGGCCTCCTGCAATCCGTTCATTGAGTCTCAGATGTGATAGCTCCATCTTCCCACAGGGCATAGCCTGAACAGCTCTCACCTGGATGTACATACAAGAAGGTTTATGCTTGTCATTTCTCCTACTCCTGTTGTGACGGCATGTGATCCTCCCATCAGGAATGGGGCCAATGGCCAGGCGGTGGTGGTGCACGCCTTTAATCCCAGCACTTGGGAGGCAGAGACAGGCGGATTTCTGAGTTCGAGGCCAGCCTGGTCTACAGAGTGAGTTCCAGGACAGCCAGGGCTACACAGAAAAACCCTGTCTTGAAAAACCAAAAAAAAAAAGGAATGGGACAAATGGATGAACATTGGAACAGGGAGTGTCATTAGGCTAGTGACCAGATTATTCCTTTTACTTTTTCCTTCTGTTCAGTACTTCTTTTTTTTTTTTTGATTTTTCGAGACAGGGTTTCTCTGTGTATCCCTGGCTGTCCTGGAACTCACTCTGTAGACCAGGCTAGCCTTGAACTCTCAAACTCAGAAATCCACCTGCCTCTGCCTCCCAAGTGCTGGGATTAAAGGCGTGTGCCACCACTGCCCTGCGCAAAAGCAGTTTTAAAAAAGATAAATTCAATGTGTGGTGGTACGTGCCTTTTAGCACTTGGGAAGGCAGAGGCAGGCAGATCTCTGTAAGCTTGGTCTACAGAGGTCCAGGACAGCCAGGGTTGTTACACAGAGAAAGTCTGTCTCTAAAACCAAATTAATTAAAGTAAGAAAACTAGGCTTCCCAACACTCAGATTTAATGTTTGTCTTAGTATTGATTACATGGTTATGTTGTAGTTACTTTCTCTCTCTCTCTCTCTCTCTCTCTCTCTCTCTCTCTCTCTCTCTCT